TATTTGTAAGTATAAATATTTGTATATGTATATGTATTAATGTAGTAATATATCAGAAGTTTAACTTGGATCAGTTGGTTGGTTGTCGATTGGAACTCTAAAGTTAAGCGTGCTTGAGCTGGAGCAGTGGAAGGATGGGTGACCTCCTGGGAAGTGGATTTCGAGGATTTATATATATATATATATACATATATATATATATCTGTGGGTTTATGGCGTATTCAAGATTATAGTTGCATTTATTTTAATGTGTTCATATGACAAATTAAAGATACTGTACAGTTTGAAAATTTCTGTGACGTATGTAATGATAAGATGCAATGTATGTATGTCCAACTCTCACAACACCCGAGTATATGACTAATGAGGAAATTACAGGTATAATATTGTAAAATAGGTCAGATGGAAATATTATAGACGAAATAAATAGACCCAAGAACTGAAAACAAATTATATATGGATATAAAACCATAGCACCTTTGGAAAAATTTACAAGTTCAAAATTTCATGTATCGAGTACTATGAAGTATAGGAATATGAGAGTAGAAGGCGCCGCGGTCAGTCAAATACCGTTAGCCAGAATAAACACGCGCATGCATACGGTCTAATATTAATATATACACAATATATTTAAAACGTTCAAGTGTGTATCACACTTGCAGTTGAATTACGTAATTAAAACTAAAGAAGGATAAATGAGGAAAATTTCAAGACACGTGGACATGCGACCTTTGACCTCTCCCAAAAGGACTAGTCAAAAGCCACTGGCCGGTTGTCTTTATAATCCTCAGTATTATACATTACAGATATAGTTTGTATTTCGTTTCGTATTTTGAAGTTATATCCTTAGTGCTACAGTTTCCAAAAAAGATATCATCGTCTGTCAAATGTTGATATTGATTTCCGTTGCTTGATCATAAAATATAATTGTAAACGCGGATCGTTTTTCGATGGTGAAATTTCCAGCAAAACATTAAAACCGGAATCGGACTGATTTAAACGAATCTGGTGGAGAATACACGCGCCATGAGAAGTCAATGAAGGGGCGCGTGGACACAGGTTGGGCACGTCAGATCATGTGGTGGAGGATTAGTATTTATTTTCGTTTTGTTATATGCAAACATGATTGCAGTTTAAAGTTCATAATTCATTTCATATAATATGTCGTGTCTTTTGTGCGTAGCAGCTTAGATATAGACTTTAGTTGGTTTTTCCCAGTTGGTCGAAACCCTCTTCCCATACACACACACACACAAAAAAAAAAAAAAGAGTAGTGAAGAAGAAGAAGAAGATGACGATGATAAGTTGGTTGGAAGGGTGTCCATGGTGGAAGATGCAGAGGTTAGGATGGTGTGTGTGGATGGTGGTGGTGGCGGCGGTGGTGGTCAGAGCCCAGGGCCAAACCCAACCCTCTACTCATCCCGACGAAGGTCTTCCTTTATCTTTTTCTTTCTCTTTGCTTCCCCAAATCATCATCTACCATTTTTACGATTCTATCAATTTCCTCACGCCTTTAAAAAACGAGAATGATTGCCACCCTAATTAATACATGTAGTGATGTGAAAAGTAGTTTTTTATTCATATATATATAGATAGTCGTGCATAACCAGGAAAAGTTAGCGGGCGAAGGTGATTGTCAAGATGATCAAAACCCACAATAATCTGTGTCATTCCACGGCTAAAGATTTATGCTTTTTTTTTTGGTTATGCACGACTATATATAACTATATTTCTTGGATTAGCATTCTTGTAGTTAGTTGTGACTTTATGAAAATGCAATGTGAGTTCCTTGAGATGTGAATGGATGCACTTGAAAACAGCGAGGGCGTTGAATTCGATATTTGGGGCGTGGAAGATAAAGGCTACCAATGCATGGAACATCAGCGGCGAACTCTGCAGCGGTGCCGCCGTCGACGACAGCGTCGCCATCGACATCTCCGCTTTCAACCCTTTCATCAAATGCGACTGTTCCTTCCTCAACTCCACCCTCTGCCGCATCACCGCTCTGTACTTCTCTCTTCTCTCTCTCTTTTCCTTTTGTTCAATGCTTTGTACCGCTTACAAGTGACCATCAGATCCGCTGACGCTGGAAAACGATGGGTTTCGCCTCAAATTGGCTTTCAAAACGATCTATAAAAACTATAATGGGTGCCTGTATTCGTTGTCCCCGAAGCGAGACTGTTGCATCTCAACTTCGCAACTTTGATTCTACACGTTTTGCTTAAGAGTTGATGAATCGAATTGAATGCGGAGGATTTCTAAGTGAAACCTGTTTGGGTCAGTCTTGCTCTTTTGTGTCATCCATGGTAGCCTCTTTTCTGTAACAGGAAGGTTCGTGGGATGGATGTTGCTGGACCAATTCCTGAAGAGCTGTGGACTTTGGTTTACATCTCAAATCTGTATGGTTTCCTGTTTGTTGATACACTTGCTAGATTAGGGAAACCTTAGTCATCAATTGATACGCGCATAAACAATAACCTGTTCACACACACATATATATATATATATACATATACATGTAGCGCTCTGGGTAGCTAGTAATGAGATCAACAAGTTTGGTGATTGGAGTTCAACCAATGGGTACATTCTGTCAAATCTGATGCCTTATAACCACAATTTTCTTTTCAGCAACCTATTCCAGAACCGGCTTACAGGTTCCCTGTCTCCTGGCATTGGAAATTTGACTCGCATGCAATGGCTGTAAGATAGATGAAATCTTTCCTCCTGTGGCGTTTCTCTTTCATATTTGGGCGTGTCCTGTTACTCATGTGTAGCTCTTCCTTTTCACTTAGGACTTTCGGGGCCAATGCCATGTCAGGACCCGTTCCTAAAGAAATTGGCCTGCTTAGCGATTTAAGATCTCTGTAAGTTTTCTTGACTGTCTTATGTGATCAAATTCTCAACTGATTCAGACATTTCTCTTGTATCTTGAGAATTCATTCACAGAGCTCTCTTTCTGCAGTGCTCTTGATATGAACAATTTCTCTGGCTCTCTACCACCCGAGATTGGGCAATGTACAAGGCTACAGAAAATGTAAGTCTATGCATTGTTTTGTTGACCATGTTTCCTTTTTCCTCTCTCTTTTTACGCTCATATTCCTCTTGAAACCACAACCATTACTTTAAATTTCATCCAGATTGAAACTCTTTGATCTCAAGCCTGTTCCCAATTTAATGTCTTGTGAGTTATTGAAATTACTATCTACTGAATTGCTTCTGAGACATGCCTAGATCAACGAGACTTGTATTGATGCAGTTACTTAGCAAGTTCGGGACTTAGCGGTGAAATTCCTTCCACATTTGCTAACCTTGTCGAGCTGGAAGAAGCGTAAGATTTACATTGGTGAAATGTGTACACACATTTTGGATTATTTTGGGATCCTCTTGGTTATTGTTTTGAAAATGCAATTCTTAAGACAATTTCTCCGTATTGGTGGGGTGACTTATTTTCATTCTTGTCAGTTGGATGACGGATATCCAGCTTACGGGTCGTTTACCAGACTTTATAGGGAATTGGACCAAGCTTACTACGTTGTAAGAACATTTCAGTCTTTTACCTCTTTAATAAATATGTTTTATAGGTTCCGTAGCGACTTTCAGTTTAACAGTGGATACTCTGTAGTTGATGATCGTGCATACTTTTAACTTTTAAATGCACACTTTGATTTGAGAAATGCTTCATTGCAGGAGGATTCTAGGGAGTGGTTTGAATGGTCCAATACCATCATCATTTGCCAATTTAACTTCTTTGACAGAATTGTAAGTGCTCTTTTGTTTTTCTATCTTTGTGCTTTTCCACATACTCTGGGTGTTGATACTGTGGTTTGAAAATGCAGGAGACTAGGTGAGATATCCAATAGCAACTCTTCTCTTGAATTCATCAGGAACATGAAATCTCTAAGTGTCTTGTAAGGCAACATCTGTTAAACTTGTGCCTCAATTCGTGATGAACTAACTACTGAACTACTTTAGTCCTCTTCTCTTCTGTTAAACTGTGTGTTTGACATTGATGACATTTCTGGCAGAGTATTGAGGAACAATAATCTCACAGGCGTAATCCCATCTGATATTGGAGAATACTTGACTTTGCAGCAACTGTGAGTTCAAATGTCTATAGACTTATAAGAATATGATCCAGAATCTGTTCTGCTGGTCTCCTCTCCCAAAGCAATGAGACTACACAAACAGAACGAAAGCTTTTCAAATGGTGTAACATTTTTATGTCATCCTTAAGTCCGAGGGAAGATTCATGTGTTTTTTTTTTGTCTCCAGTGATTTGAGCTTCAACAGCCTAACAGGGCCGATTCCAGCTTCCCTTTTCAGCTTAAGTCAACTTACTCACTTGTATGATGATATTTCTTCTCGTCCATGCTTTTAATTACTACAATTACTTTGATAATTATAGAAAAATTATGTTGGTTTTTATTTAGGTTTCTCGGAAACAACAAGTTGAGTGGCACTTTGCCCAATCAGAAGAGTCAATCTCTTATCAATATGTACGTAAGAGAATGTTTTCGTACCAAATTGCAACTATATATGCTTATTACATGCGTGTTTGTGTACATATCTGAATATATACACAATTATGTGTGCGTGTTTCCTTTTCTGGTCCACTCAGTGTGCCATAGAAAAACTTGCCAATAATATCTGAGATGGTTATGAGCAAAGTTGTGGAATCATATGCATAAGGCCCTAACCATTGTAAAATTCTACTTGCAGAGATGTCTCGTACAATGATTTAGAAGGAAGTCTTCCATCTTGGGTTAGCCAACCCAACTCGCAACTGTAAGTAAGCATATACTAGGGATTAACCCTCTGCGGACTTCTGCAAAATTTTAGGAAGCTTCACTTTTTCCATACTCACGTGCAGTTTCTATCTCTTGGCGATATTTTTAAATGCAATTTCATGCTGAAACATCTTAGCATATGATAGTAAACACATCATCCTCGTGTTATTATGCAGTAACCTAATAGCCAACAACTTCACCTTACGAGGTTCTAGCAGAAGGTGATTTTGATACTGTATTATTTCTTTTCGTGCTTCCAATGTGTTTATCTTTTTCTTTTCTTTTGGAATAAGGTACAAGTCTAAACCAAAAACTGTGCTTGTCACTATGCTTTAATTCAAGGACACAAGTATAAACCAAAGATCATAACTTTCAATTATTTTTAACTTTTCTTGTTGTTAAAAGAGTTCTGCCGGGACTGAACTGCCTCCAAAAGGACTTCCCCTGCAATAGAGGCAAAGGAATCTGTAAGTGCAGCCAAATGGTATCTTGAAACTTTTATACATTTAGTAGATAACAAAGCTTATCTGTAAGGGAAGCAAATGCCATTTGTTTTAGTTGCTCTTGGTTTGGTTGGTGTCCAGATTTCAACTTTTCAATCAAATGTGGAGGCCCGCAGATGAGGTCTGCAAGTGGTGTTTTGTATGAGAGGGAGGATGAGGTGCTTGGACCAACTTCGTTTTTTGTTAGTAAAACACAGAGATGGGCAGCCAGCAATGTGGGACTGTTTACTGGGAGTAACAGTAATCAATACATAGCTTTTTCACAAGCCCAGTTCACCAACACTTTGGATTCAGAGCTTTTTCAGACAGCCAGACTCTCTGCTTCCTCTCTAAGGTATTATGGGTTGGGGCTGGAAAATGGAGGCTACACTGTGATGCTTCAGTTTGCTGAAATTCAGATACAAGGTTCTAACACCTGGAGAGGTCTTGGAAGGCGATTTTTTGACATCTATATTCAGGTCTCTACTACTTCATAATCTTCCTCGATGTTCATACAAGTTATTATTTCTTATTAACTGTCCTCCAATATCCTATTGCTCCTTCAAATTATGGGACATCGAGTTTTCTTTATGCAGCGTTTCTTGAATCTAATCCTTGACAAATCTAGGCATCTATGGGCAATTTTTTCCTCTCTTGTTTTTTGATTTGAATTTCCGGTTCTGATGTCTGTGTTACAGGGAAGACTTGTTGAAAAGGATTTTGATGTACATAGAACAGCCAATGGTTCTAATACCCGAGCAGCCCAGAGTGTATATAAAGCAAAGGTATCGGAGAATTACCTCGAAATCCATCTTTTCTGGGCTGGAAAAGGGACATGTTGTATTCCAGCTCAAGGGACTTATGGGCCAATCGTCTCAGCCATCACTGCAACACCAGGTAGAACAAACACTCTCATGATTCTTCCATTGTGAATGTCCTTAGGGACTGCTAGTGTCTTCTTTTGCAGATTTCATACCGACTGTCAGTAATACGACGCCATCAGAGGACAATAACAGAACTGGCACCATTGTGGGTTCTGTTGTTGGAGTTGGAATCGCAATTTTCTTGACAATTGTGTTCGTCTTCATCATCAGAAGGAGAAGAAAGCAGTACAGAGATGAAGAAGGTAGATGCATTTGGAAAAGATAAATAGAAAGAACTACCCTTGGACCATTTTGACAATCTGATCGAAGTCTAAGCTTGAACAAGTTTCTGCAAACCAGTCCCTTTTTCAGCAACTTTCTTTCTTTTGTAGTGTTACTTGGAATGGACATAAGACCATATACTTTTAGTTATTGGGCACTCAGAAGTGCAACTCAAGATTTCAACCCCTCGAACAAGCTCGGAGAGGGAGGTTTTGGGTCTGTTTATAAGGTAAGACATGACAAAAGGGGACGAAACAATGGCACAATGAAATAAAATATGTTATGTAATCTCTATTTTGGTTGTGTTATAATTCGAATATCGCCTGCTGCAGGGGAAACTCAGTGATGGAAGGGAGGTAGCCGTGAAACAATTGTCAGTTGGATCATGGCAAGGCAAGAGCCAATTTTTTGCAGAGATTGGCACTATATCGACTGTTCAGCATCGCAACCTTGTAAAGCTGTATGGATGTTGCATCGAGGGAGATCATCGTTTGCTCGTGTATGAGTACCTCCCGAACAAAAGTCTCGATCATGTACTATTTGGTATGCATAGAAACGCCATTGATATACCGTCACCTTTTCTGCACAAAAGTAAGAACACTCATCATGCACTTGTGATTGGCTTGTTGGATGTTGCAGGGGAGAAAACTTTATATCTTGATTGGGCAACCCGTTTTGAGATATGCTTGGGAGTAGCCAGAGGGTTAGCTTATCTGCATGAAGAGTCGAGGCCGCGTATAGTGCATAGAGATGTGAAAGCCAGCAATATTCTGCTTGACTCAAATTTGGTCCCAAAAATTTCTGATTTTGGGTTGGCGAAACTATACGATGATAAGAAGACACATTTAAGTACCAAAGTTGCAGGGACGATGTAAATACCATAAAATCTCACAATATAGGACCTATTACTGGTCTTTTGCAATACTGGTGTTGAATTTTTTTAACTCTACTGTTGTTGATGTTACAATGCAGTGGATATCTGTCACCAGAGTATGTGATGCTTGGGCACCTAACAGAGAAAACGGATGTGTTTGCATTTGGAGTTGTGGCTCTAGAAATTGTAAGTGGAAGGCCCAACTTCTGTGGGGAAATAGATGATGAAAGGAAATATCTTCTGGAATGGGTATGCACTTGAATATGAATGATGAATATGCTTGCTATTCATTCATGGACACAAATAAAGAATGTAGGGTTTTATCTTGGGGCAGGCATGGAACCTACACGAAAGGAAGAGTGCAGGGGAGATAGTCGATAGAAGACTAAAAGAATGGGAGGAAGAAGAGGTGGAACGAGTGATAGGAGTAGCTCTGCTGTGCACTCAGACATCTCATGCCTTAAGACCAACAATGTCAAGAGTGGTGGCCATGTTGTCCGGAGATGTCAAGGTTAGTGCTGTGAATTCCAAACCAGACTATTTGAACGCTACAATGTTTGAGAATATGGAGAGCAGCAGCACAACTGGATGTTCTGTGGGAAGCTGGGCATTGCCTGTCACTCCTACTAAGCCGGAAGAAAAAGTTTAAAGTTCAGCTCAATTTGTTGTGTGCATATATTTTGATCGGCTTGGCTACAATGAATAAATGTATGAATGGTGGGGCTGTTTTTTTTTTGGTTTTTGTTTTTGTGGCAATGTTGCAAGGTAACCTAAGCATGTATGACTTCGAGCTTCGAGCTCCTTGGTCATCGGTATGTCTGTTCGCTGGTTATGCGTTCAATTAAACTTTCGAAAAAGTAAGATGCTTGCCTTTGCCATTGGATATTGCTCCAAAACGCTCTCTCGCTATATACACACACAAACGGCCTTAACGCCTACTATTCAGATGCAATAGCCCATGTTTTAAAATAACTGTGGAGAGGCATTCCCATTTGGATACAAGACTGAGGACTTGGGCCTCTTTAGTTTGATATGTGTTCATTTTTTTTATAACTCATATGGGGTTTAATTGGCCTTGTCTTTTTTTTTTCTTTACGTTGTCCTAAGTCAATGATGTCTACTTTTCACCTTTAATAACAATACCCCCATTGTTACATATATACACACACCACCACCACCACCTCCACCTCGAATATTTTTATCCGCACATGATGGGCAGTTGGTGTTGGTGTGTATATATATATATATATTAGAATTTTTGCCCAAACAATATGGGTGGCTGGAATATATATTTTAGATTTTAGTTGGTATTTCTACTATTTTCCTAATCGCTGTAAAGGCAGATCAACTTTGTCTGACCATTAATTTCTTTTTATTATTAACGTTGCCATCCTTTCATTTTTAAATGTGTATAAACCCCGTCACACTTAATCAATTTGTCCCAAATCAAATGTCAAATTTCATGGTCAAGGGCCATTAAAATCATTGAAATTCATAACGATCTCAAATTTTTTTTATCACTTTATCCACTTGAGGATATTTTTGGTTCAACAAAAAAAATTATAATAATTGTTCCTACATGTAGCCGCCAGTGTTGAAAGCTTCGAAAACAAAAGCCAAAGGTGCAGAGCCTCACTCTCTTCTGAGGCGCGTGATCATAACGCCCTCATTGTCCAAAGTCAAAGTCACGGCGCGTGACTCTGACATTCGTGTTCGCTGGATGATCCCCTATTCTACCTTGGTCTAACATTGCAATATGCGTCGATCCAAAAGTTCTAATAATTACTTGTAAACATAACGTGGGCCAAAACAATAGGATAAAAAACACAAGTCAAGGAGACCTTGTTCCATTCGGTGGTTGTATCACCATCTCCGTCCTGTTTGGTCGTCGAGGACGATGCAGAGGTTATGGCGATTTATGTGTGTGGTCATGGCTGTTTGGTTTGTGTCTCTGTCCAGTTCGGTTCTGGTGGTTCGAGCCCAGAACGGAACCCGAGCCACTAGGCCCACTACCGATCCCACTGAAGGTTTTGTTCTTTCCTCTCTCTTTTTTTTTTCAAAACAAGTTCTGTTCTCTGATCAGTTTGTATCTCGTCGCTTACATTTCATTCGAATCGAGAACACAATAAGCTAATTCGTTGTATCATCAGTTAAGTGCAGTTTGCCAAGTAATTTATCTTAACCTAAAATAAAACAATTTTGTATTTTGATTTTACCATTCGCCAAATCAGGAACAGGGGTGAAATGGGAATTTTCGTATCTATATAAACGTGATTTTTTGAACGCAGCGCGGGTGTTGAACGCGATATTCACTGCGTGGAATGTAAGGGCGACTAGGGAATGGAACATCAGCGGCGAAGTCTGCAGCGGCATAGCTGTCGACGACAGCGTCACCATCGACGACAGAGCCTACAACCCTCTCATCAAATGCGACTGCTCCTTCGTCAATTCCACCATCTGCCGCATCACCGCCCTGTATTTGTCTCTTCTCTTCCTTTCGGTAGTCATTAAAGCGTGTTTCCCAATTGTTCAATGTTTTGTCTGAATGGAAATGATCCTGGGGAAAGATGGGTTTTCTTTGAGAATTCGAGCAGTTTCATGCGAGATAGTTACGCTGGGGAGATATGGGTTTTGGCCGAGCCGAAATTTCATAAAAAAAATTATCTCATAAGAATGATGGGTTTCGTTCGATATTTGCTGATATGGGTTCTTTCTCCTCTTGGTACTCTAATCGCTGAGAGGCAGTACAATGTCTCCATTACATATAAAGTTTGCAACTTTTGCCTAGGAAAATTTGGAAAATCAAGATAAGTAGGCTGCTATAAGTGAATGTGTTATCTATGATTCGGTTCAGCCGAGTGACATGAATGTCAAGCTTGGATCCCTCTTCTCATTCTCCTTGATTTATTTGTATCGTGTGACAGGAAGGTTTATGCCATGGAGCATGTTTTAGGACCAATACCTGACCAGCTCTGGACTTTGGTTTACTTAACAAATCTGTATGATTTCTTCTTTGTTAATCCAGTAGCTTAGAAGGGAATTTTGTTAACAGTTGACCACACATAAATGAGCACACGAGAACGTATACTTTATTCTCCACATGAGTGCACGCCTACTTAACTTGAATTATTGAGATTTAAGTACATCCAGCGTATACATGCTATCACATATAACACTTTCAGTTCTCATTTTCCTTTCTTTGTTTACCTTCTTTAGGAATCTAGCTCAAAATTTCTTGACAGGTCCTCTGTCTCCTGCAATTGGAAATCTGACTCGTATGCAGTGGCTGTAAGGAAATGGAACCATTCTATTCTAACCACTGATTTGTGCGTGTCTTAGCATTTGGTGTAACAAACTTTTAACTCTTACCACGTAGGACTTTTGGGATCAATGGATTAACGGGACCGGTTCCTAAAGAAATCGGACTGCTCACTGATTTAAGATCTCTGTAAGTCAATCCTTCCTTGACTATGTAGCATGGTCAACTTGAAAAACTGTTTAAGAGGTTTCTGGAGGAATTTGATTGTTCACTTATAGAGCTCTCTTTTTGCAGTAGTCTGAGCTCAAATAATTTCTCTGGTTCACTGCCAGCTGAGATCGGGAATTGTAGGAGGCTTCAGAAAATGTAAGTCTAATTATTACTTTCTTGCCCATGTTTCATGTAAAATCTATTTATTCATGCCTTTTGTATATAGCTCCATAATAGCAAATGTGACATTCAATATTGTATGAGTTGAAACTCCTTCGCCATAATCTTGTTTCCTAAATAATCTTTCATGAATGGTTTAGCTGTCCATCAACTTAACTGCTCCCTTGACATAACTAGATTGTGACTAATATTTGTGGCAGTTACATTGGGAGCTCTGGACTTAGTGGCGAAATTCCTACATCATTTGCAAATCTTGTGGAGCTGGAAGAAGCGTAAGATATGCATTCATATATTTCATGCATATATTTCTTCTTTGGGTTTCTTTGAAATCGATTTGTTAATCCACATTCTATGTACGATTTGGGTCACTTATTTTCTAAAAAAAATTGTACAGTTGGATCACAGATATGGAACTTACAGGTCCGGTACCAGACTTCATAGGAAATTGGACCAAGCTTATTGTGTTGTAAGAAAAGTTGATTTTGTAGTGCTCTTTAATTGGTCATCTTTTGTTGTTCTGTTTCTAAATTTTGTAGCCACAGGTTCATCATGTGAGAAAAATTAATGGAAAATTCTTGTATACATTTATATGCCGTATTCAAATCTTACATCTTTCACTACAGGAGAATTTTTGGCACTGGTCTGAGTGGTCCAATACCATCCTCGTTTGCCAACTTAACTTCTTTGACAGAATTGTAAGTGTTCTATTTGTGCTACTATCTGTCTATGTCTACTTCTTGTCCTCTTTTCTGTTCTTTTGTGATTGTGCATGTTGTGGGTCTTGGTACTATCGTGGGAAATCTCATTGCAGGAGATTAGGTGAAATATCCAATAGCAGTTCTTCTCTTGAATTCATCAGGGACATGAAATCTCTAAGTGTATTGTAAGGGCAACTTCCTTTGATCTCATGTCTCAATTCATGATCAAAGTACCAAATTCTTGCGATTCTTGTCTTCCTTTTAGCATTTATTGATGAATTGTTTTGCAGAGTATTAAGGAACAACGATCTCACCGGAATGATTCCTCCCACTGTTGGAGAATACTTGAATTTGCAACAACTGTAAGTTATTGCTGTATCAGTTCCCTAACATGCTCCAAAAAGCTGTTGTGAGGCTCTTCTCTGTTAAAGGAATGATAACATATGTAAACACCTCTCAGATAAAAAACCAAAGCATAAACTATTACAAGTACCACATACTTAGTTGACTATTTATCATCTTCCATTCCAGGAAAGAATTGGTTTAACACATTACCATACAAATTGTGTATCTGTTCTCCAGGGATTTGAGTTTCAACAACCTAACCGGACCAATTCCGTCTTCTGTTTTCAACTTAAGTAGTCTTACTCACTTGTAAGATTATATTTTCCGCTATTCTGTGTTTCTATGTCCAATTACTTGGATATAGTTGAAAATCTACGATTTTCACGTTCATTTGTAGGTTTCTTGGAAATAACAGACTGACGGGGTCCTTACCCAATCAAAAGAGTCAGTCTCTGAGCAATATGTAAGTAACAAAATCTCTGCATATTGTGTTTTCTACATGTTTATGTGTGCATATATATACATACATACATATATATATATTGTGTGAGAGAGAGAGATGTATATGAAAATAACTACATGGTTAAATAGTATGTAAAATGACAAGACGGTATGTATCATGGGAAAGTATATCTTAGAATAATTCGAGCTCAAGCATATCCTTTAAATACGAACTCGAGTTGTGAACACCATTTTGCTGAATTATTGTCCAAATTTAATATGGTTCACTTTGTGTGGCATCGAGACTTGCCAAATTTAGAGCAGTCTGTCTCTATCTTAATTACTGTTACTTTGTACCTTGTACTTGCAGAGATGTGTCATACAATGATTTATCTGGGATACTTCCTTCTTGGATCAGCCTACAAAACTTGCAACTGTAAGTAAGCAGACATCATGGGCTTTTGCAACTTGTGGCAAACTTCTATTTATAAGTGTTTAGTTGGGGTTTTCCGTACCCTAGCGTGAAATTGTATGTTCTTCATAATGTATCTTTATTATTTGCTGAAACTACTTTTCATGGTACTTAAAAAGAAATCTATGTGTTGTTCTGTAGTAACCTCGTCGCCAACAACTTTACATTGGATGAGTCTAGCAACAGGTAATTTGATGGTTCCATGTTTATGTTGGTATTTATCCATCGGCATTTTTCTTTTATCCTTTTAAGATGATACAAGGATTCAAGTATAAACCCCAGATCATGACTTTCATTATATTCCTTCTTGTTTAAAGGTTTCTGCCAGGACTAAACTGCCTCCAGAAGAGCTTCCCTTGCAATCGAGGCAAAGGAATCTGTAAGTTCAATGAAGGACATTTATTGAAACGTATCATAGGGTTACATTCTCATAATAAGACTATGGGCAAACACATGGAAAATGTTAATGTGCATATCCAAACCAATAATGATTGTTTGAGTTTCTTCAACTTTTACTTTCATCCAGATTTTAACTTTTCAATCAACTGCGGAGGCCCACAGATCAGGTCTGCAAGTGAGGCTTTGTATGAGAAAGAGGATGAGGCACTTGGACCATCTTCATTTGTTGTCAGTAATACGCAGAGATGGGCAGCCAGCAATATAGGACGGTTCACTGGTAGTAACAGTAATCTATACGTTGCTTCTTCACAAGCACAATTCGTCAACACTTTGGACTCAGAGCTTTTTCAGACAGCAAGACTTTCTCCATCTTCGCTAAGGTATTATGGACTTGGGTTGGAAAATGGAGGCTATACTATTACTCTTCAGTTTGCTGAAATACAAATGCAAAGTCCTAATACTTGGAGAGGACTCGGAAGACGACTTTTTGACATATATGTCCAGGTTTGTTCTACTTTATTTAGCTGCTTTCAATATTCTTACAAGTTGTAACTTCTTATTAACTTCGAAGTAATTATAATCTCGTAGCCTTGCCCTTCAAATGAACATTAAGTATATCTTAGATAAATGATAAATCTCATAATCTAGAAACGTCTCTGTAATACCATTATATCTAGTCTGCTGGAGTTGTATCGGACAAGACTCTTGACAAGATTCTCTATCTCGCTTTTGGTTTCAAATTTCATGTTCTCTTTTCCCAGGGAAGACTTGTTGAAAAAGATTTTGATATCCGTAGAACAGCTAATGGTTCTATTATCCGAGCAGTTCAGAGATCATATAAATCAAACGTATCAGAGAATTACCTTGAAATCCATCTTTTCTGGGCCGGAAAAGGGACATGTTGCATTCCTCTTCAAGGAACTTATGGGCCTCTAGTCTCAGCTATCAGTGCATCGCCAGGTAACTCAATGACTTACACTTTTCCTAATGTTCAATATTTGTCTCTCTACTAATATTTTCTTGTGCAGATTTCATACCTACTGTGAATAATAGACCGCTTTCAGAGGACAAGAACAGAACTGGAACTATTGTTGGTGTTGTTGTTGGATTAGGAGTTGCCATCATCTTGGTGATTGCACTCATCTTCATCATCCGGAGGAGAAGAAAGCGGTACACAGACGACGAAGGTATGTACAGCAGATAACATAACACACCCTTGAATCATTTCATGAATGTGGTTAAAATCTAAACCTAAACAAGTTTTTTAAATTGGTTCATTTCCACAACCTACATTTTCTCGCAGAGCTACTTGGTATGGACATAAAGCCTTATACCTTTAGTTATTCGGAACTCAGAAGTGCCACTCAAGATTTTGATCCCTCAAACAAGCTCGGAGAGGGAGGATTCGGGGCAGTGTATAAGGTAAGACCCATCGTACCAAAAGGCTATCCAATCTCTGTTTCTTGATCTGAAAACAAATTCAACAGGGAAAACTCGACGATGGAAGTGAGATAGCCGTGAAACAGCTGTCTGTTGCATCTCGGCAAGGAAAGGGCCAGTTTATTGCAGAAATTGCTACAACATCTGAAGTTCAGCACCGCAATCTGGTAAAATTGTATGGATGCTGCTTCGAGGGAGATCATCGTTTGCTCGTATATGAGTACCTACCAAACAAAAGTCTCGATCAAGCACTATTTGGTATACACAGAAACATTATTGATCTATCACCATTTCTGCACATGGGTAAGAACAGCCCCTTCATCCCTCACGTGTTGCAGGAGAGAAGACTTTACATCTTGATTGGTCTACCCGTTTCGAGATATGCTTGGGAATAGCCAGAGGTCTTGCATATCTTCATGAGGAGTCAAGGCTTCGTATAGTACATAGGGATGTGAAGGCCAGCAATATTTTGCTTGACTCGAATCTGGTCCCAAAAATTTCTGATTTTGGGCTAGCTAAGCTATACGATGATAAGAAAACTCACATGAGCACCCGAGTTGCAGGGACGATGTAAGAAACAGCCCCCCCCCTCCTCCCACAAAAAAAACGCCATTTAGTGTTTGATCTACCTTCGGTTTTGCAACAGTATTTTCATATATATTCACTTAACTGGTGTTATTCCAATGCAGTGGATATCTTGCACCAGAGTATGCAATGCGTGGACACCTCACAGAGAAAACCGATGTGTTTGCTTTTGGTGTTGTGGCTCTAGAAGTTGTTAGTGGAAGGCCTAACTCAGATCAAGACTTGGTGGATGACAGAAAATATCTTCTGGAGTGGGTACGTCCTCTTATAGCCCATGTATCTGCTCTTCTATTACTATATATCATGTATACATTGAAAGTCGAAAACACATTAAAAGAAACATGTCTTTATATACATCAACATCGCCTTAGTCCCCAAGTTTATTTTGGGTCGGCCGCAAGTAAATTTGCCCATTTCTATATAATTACAGAAAGTCCATTGACCAAAACGTTGTTACAACACACTGATTTGGATTTCACCTTGTTTGAGTTTTTCGTTTACAAATAAAGGTCCAGGTAGCAAAATAAGTTATGTAACTGTTCGAATCTCACATACAGGCATGGAACCTACACGAGAAAAACCGGGAAGTGGAACTGGTAGATCCAGACCTGGTAGAGTTCAACGAGGAAGAAGTGAAGCGGGTGATAGCAGTTGCTCTGTTGTGCACTCAGACATCCCACACACAGAGACCACAAATGTCAAGAGTAATGGCCATGTTGTCGGGAGATGTGGAGGTCACTGCTGTTGCATCAAAGCCTGGATACTTAACTGAATGGAGATTCGAAGATATAACAAGCTTTGTGAGCGGAGAAGAAGCAGCAGCCGCCAAAACAACTGGGAGTACCGAAACTTACCCAGATTCTTCCTTCTCCACGAGCCTGGTTACCCCTGATTCTGAGATATCTCCCTCAACAACTGTCACTAAGCCAATGCTGGGAATCAAGATCAAAGAGGGACGATAACAAAAAGAAAAGGAAAACACACTTTGTGTATAATTAATTATTCACTACGTTATGAAACACTGTGTGATGAGTGATAGATAGGTGAGTGAGACTAAGATTGGTTTATGGTTGGAGGAATACGAAAAATGGTGTGGTCATCTTCACTTGTGGACGGTAACAACTAAGGTTATACTTTTTCGCCTGCTATACATTGCGTATTGGCCATATATACAAAATGATCATAATGGGCACATCACATCACGTCAATAATACGTAGCAGACTTAATTACTTATGTGACAGGAATGCATATTAAAAGATTGATACGTAATAAAATTGACGTGATATTTTTTGTTCACTGGATAAAGGATTCGTCGAATTGCTCTCCCAGATAACTTAAACACACCCTCATCGCCGTCATGTAAAAACTTTAGTGGGCTTTATGTAATGAAATAAACATGTACTATATACAAAAGATAGATTATCAGGTTACTCTCCCAAGAATCAAGATATACATACACTTTATAACCCCTCATCAGAATTCTCGGAGTTGAAATTCCAACATATATCGGTTGATTTTTTTTATAAAAAATTCAACAAAAATTCAACGGATATCGGTTGAAAATTTGAATTTTAGTTGAGAAAATCAATTGAAAATATATATACAAATATATATATATATATATATATTTAAATACATGTATTTTATATATTTATACGTATATGTATATATGTGTATATACATAAATATATATACATATATATGTATAAATATTCATATATACATATATATATCTATGTATATATGTATGTGTGTATGTATATGTATATATATATATGTGTGTATATATATATATGTGTATGTATATATATTTATATTTATACATAAATATTTATATATGTATATATATTAATGTTGTATGATATTAGAAATTTAATTTGGAGCAATTGGATGATTAATTGAAACTTTAGGGTTAAGGAGGATTGTATTGGAGTAGTAGAAGGATGAGTCACCTACTGAGAAGTGAATTCGCGAATTAAATTTCTGAATTTCGGATTTGATTTAGAGTCAGGATCGGGATTCGGGGTTTATGGTTTAGTGTTTAGGGTTTATGTGTATATTGTGTTTGTATGTATATGTGTATATATTTTTAATGTGTGTGTAGTGTAGTGTATGTATGTATATATGTATGTATGTATGTATGTATGTATGTATGTATGTATGTATGTATGTACGTACGTACGTACGTACGTACGTTTGTGAATGTCAATGTATGTGTGTGTTGTGCATAAATATGTGTATGTGTGTATGTGTATGTATTTATGTATATATGTATGTGAATGTGTATGTGTTTATGTATATGTGGATGTAAATGTGTATGTGTTTGTGTATGTATGTGTATATATGTGTGTTTATGTATGTGTGTGTATGTGTATTTGTATGTGTATTTGTATGTGTATGTGTGTGTTGTGTATGTATGTGTGTATGTGTATTTGTGTGTTGTGTATGTATGTGGAAATGTGTACGTGTGTTTATATGATGTGTATGTGAATATATATGTGTGTAGTTATGTATGTATGTGTATATGTGTAAATATATATGAATGTGTGTATATATATGTAACACTATACGTGTATATGTGAAATTTATGTGTATATGAATATTTAGGGTTTAGGGTTTAGGGTTTGGGGTTTGGGGTTTGGGGTTTGGGGTTTAGGGTTTAGGGTTTAGGGTTTAGGGTTTAGGGTTTAGGGTTTAGGGTTTAGGGTTTAGGGTTTAGGGTTTAGTACATACATACATACATACATACATACATACATACATACATACATGCATACATGCATACATGCATACATACATACGAGTCTGTCCATATATGTCTTTGTATAGATACATGCATCTCATTTTAATTTGGATAAGAAGAGCCAAGTGTGTGTGTGTATGTGTATATATATCTATAAGCGCGTCTTCTTTCTAAAACAGTACACACAACCAGCCATACATACTATTCAGATCCAAGAAAAAATAAGAAGGATAAATGGCCCCAGTTTTACAAGTCAGTGTGCATACGTTATCAAATTGGATCTAAGCCATACAAAAAAAAAAAAAGTCCAAATACAGCCCATTCTAATGCATACACGTATCGTCACTTAGTTATTCAACATCGGTTATTAATTCCTATGTACATTACTATAGCTGCTATTATACTTCACTACATATATATATATATATATATATATATATATATATTGTAAATGGAACCATTACTGACAATATCGAACCAGTGAGATAAGGATTATATATATTGATGGATTCTCGAAATATGGGAGTGGGGGAGAGATACATTTCAAGAAAGCAAAATATATTCAATCATTATCTATGGGACCAGCGAGTATCCATCTCTCCTTGTTTGGTCAAATCGTCTCAAACTTTTTCTGCCATTCATTCATCCCCTTTTCATGTTCCTCTTATATATATTTATATAAATAAATATAACCCCTAAATGCAATCACAACCTTAGTATAATTACTATCATCATATTGCACTTATACTTTTTTTTCGGGGGGGCGCTATATATTATACTTTCATTATCATTGGTCCAGAGAGCAGGCAGGACCTGGTCCATACATTTACTCTCTCCAATCTCCAATTTTTTTTTTTTTACATCAAATGGAAATAGATTCCATGTTGTTTAGTTGGGCAAATACAATAATAGCAAACCTTCACTCAACAGAAACAGAAAATCGAATAATAACCACCATTTTGTTCTCTCTTTTTTATATGTGAATAAGTTGGGTCGCATATATAGTATTAAAGCCAAAATACTCGCGGGCGAGGATACATTTATATGCAGAAACATTGCCCCTAGTGTTGCAGTTTTGAACAGTAAGAGGTGTAAATTTAGTATACATCATTGTTTTTGAGATCCTTGCATGGAATCATAAAACACAGTTTGAATATATAGAGTCAGAAAATTGTATAACGTATGTATGGTCATTCTCATCACATTCTCAAAAAAAAAAAAAAATCGCCCTTAAAGAGATATGTCTTCTTCTGCTTCGATCTAAACGAAATATCACCCAAGGAAAGGAGAATCAACATTTTACATTATTTTATTTTCCCATTTATTTGTTTAATAGTGAGGTGATGTGGATGAAGACAAAGACGGACTTTAATTCAATAGGCCCAAAAGGGTTTGTCACTCGCCATGGAAATCTTTTCGGCAATAGTTTCTATTATACGAAATCTTTCAAAGTCATTGGTAGTAACGATACGTGGTCCTCCACCAATTTTCTTTTTTATATATAACGGAAATACCTTTACGAATAATTAATTATCTTGTCATTATTAACATCACTCAGTTATTTTATTTTTTAATAAAAAAACTCCATAAACCGTACCTTAGTCCCACACAACGTATAGTACGGATCCAAAAGCCCAATAAGCCCAAAAAGGCCCAACATTCATAGTAGATGAAACGGGCCCACCCAATTTCTCACATTTACGTTTCGTGTTCCTCCTCCTCTTGGGTCTGGTTTAAACTGTGTTTGGGGATCACAACGTTCATTTCTTAAATAAATTGAACCTCAACTATCCAGAGGGCATTTTATTCATAGTTCCTCATAACGAGCTGTTTCCTACCAACAAGGAAAGCTTTAGTGTCGTTCGTTTCGGAGCGTGTCGTCTACCTGCGTCACGATGGGATTCCGCGACTTTATATCGGGTAACAGGTTGATTTGACCTTTTTACCCTTTAGCGTTAGCAGATTGAGATCCGTCTAGTCGGGGCCCATTAAGAGGCCCAGAAAAGATGGCCCATTTCCTTGGCCTGAAACTTGTTGGTACCAATGATATGCATGTATTTCTATAATTTTATTTTTTTTTTTATTTCGAATTTTTCGCTAAGGGCTGAAGAAACTGACATATCTGGGATGAGAGTTTGTCAAGAAGCTCTGAGGCCCCTTTACGAAGAAACTGTCGGAGTCGTCATCAGCATCCTCTGCAAGACCAGAGCTCTTCCCAGCTCTCACCTCCTTGAACTTATCCATCAGATTCAGTCCCTTCAGATGATCTCCCCACATGTCGTACCACATCTCCTCCTTCCTCTTCACACTTTCTTTCCCGCCAAGTTTCGCCCCTGGAGCCCTCGCACTCGGAGCCAGCGGCGAACTGCTCCGTCCTATCGTCACGGACCTCGTAGCCGTGCACGGGAACGTTGCCGAGTGAGACAGGACCGACGGCTTTGCGGCTCGAGGTGGTCCTGAACCAGGCGGCTCAACCCTTCTGAAAGGATGGTCGTCTGTTTCAGGAGTTGCAGATATGGCAGGTGATATGGGAGAGGTCGGGGTCGAATTCCCACTGTGACTGCTGGAAACTTCCATCAGCCTCATCGTTACGACGCCCTTTTTCTTCTTCCTACGTTTCTTCTTGTCTCTCACAGTTTTCACCGTTAGATTCACGGGTTCTGGTGCAGAACCAGAAGCCGGTGTTAGCTTCCTGGATTGTTCTGCCTCTGCTGAGACCTCATCTTTGCCATTATTCATCCTTCCGAGCGTATCTTCCCTCATTGACCTTAGCAGAGAATCCATTTCGGGGGAGATTGTGAAGCCGTTGTGTTTCTCCTGATAATGGGACGATGATTTCTCGGCCGCCCTTCTGATTGCTACTCTGTTGCAGCTTCTCTTACTGCTCTCGTAGAAGCGGTGGTCATGGGAGATAATGGCCGTCATTTGTGGAAACACAAAGTAGAGTAACAAAAAGAGTGAAGCAGCAGCAAGAAGAACAGCCATTGAAAATTTCTTCAGTCGCACCGAGAAGACCGATTTCTTGCAAAGATTAAGCATCAAGACCGGAATACTTGCCTTCAGAGGCACTGCAAGAATAACTCCAGATTCAGACACAAACTCGAGATCTCTATTCACTGTAGAAGCTGAAAGATCCATGTGGTAGGACAAGTGAAAACTACTTGATTCCCCTGGTTCAAGTGAAAAGCTTTTGCACTGATGTACAACAAAACCATCTCCTCCACACTTTGTCCCTGAAACCGAAATGCTTTGGATCTCAAGAGGGAAATCCCCAGTGTTTTTGGCATACAGCACTTTAGACAATGGCTTGTAACACATGGGAGACATACCGAGAGAGCTTGGCACATCCGGCTGAAATTCTATGGTGTGGACAGGTTCAGATTTTTCTAAAAGGATCAAGGAAAGGGACCCTCCTAGACCCTTTAGAGATATCCACTCAACACCAGAAAGATTGTTCCTTATCAAAGCAGAACTTCTCCACCTGCACCGGTTTGAAGGGTGGAAGTGTATAGGACCAAAAGTCAATTCGCTGCTAGGATAAACATAGGCCTCAGTCACTGCGTTTTCTGCTACTGAGAACGCGTTCTTCCCGAGCTCTGAACCTTTTCTTGCCACTGACCCATTGAACTGAGAAAAATGAATACTGTCTTGTCCTTTGCACTCGTCGATGATTTCTCCAGAGTTCAGGACAAACTGCATAACAACTGGTTCATGGCTAGGGTTTTTCACTGTAATGTACCTGGATCCATGGGTGCCCACCTGAACCACAGGGAAAGTAACTTCATGTTCTTTGAGGACAGACAAGTTACTCCTGATGCCTTGAGATTTCCAGTTTCCCAGAATCAGCTCATCATCCGAATGGGCCCTTTCAAGTGCCTAAGAAAAAAAAGTATCAGTTCATGCGCATCTTAGCTCCAGAAAAAGTACATCCAGAGGAGAAAATACACCAAGTGCCTTGTAGAAAATCAACACATTCTTAAAGTTTCCAGAGAGTTTAAAAGTGACAAGGAAGGTTATGTACCTTAACCTGAGAAGAAGAAGACATGCCACTTCCTGAAGGTCCCGACTTTTTGTTGCTTGAATCCTTTTTGTTTCTTGAGCAGATGTGAAAGACATCCCGACAAAGAATTTCAACCTCAGGATTACTAGAGTCATTTGTCAGTACGAGTACGACACAACTGTTGTTAATGTCAGATGCTTCTATGACAGCTGAAGGCAATTGGGCACATGAGATTAAAGCCACTTGCGTTACAGAACCCGGAAAAAGCAGCAAGCCTTTGTTGTGTTTGATGTGGAAAAGGCTCGTGTCAGCAACTTTACTGACATTGACGACAGCTAACATATATGGAGCATCGTTTTTAAGAGAAATCGCCATAGTCATTTCAGCATCATCATATGAAACCAGGGGCTCTAGAAAGACTGAAACTAGAGCTCTAGGATCATTCCAAGCTATTTTCTTGCCCAAGTCTACTTCAAGAGGAAATATAATTGTATCGATCTGTTCTTTTGAGGATCTCAGTAACTGCAAAGATACAGTTCCAGAAATTCTTCCTTCGAAATTTGGTAACAACTCCATTTCCAGGATATCCTCCCTCTTTCCCGGACCAATCTCCCAACTGCCATAAGGCTTGACAGCAACCATTTGAAAAGCACCCAGACCATTGCTCTTCACAATCAACTGATCCTTAATGCCCAACGGAAGTATCTCAGGAGAATCATGGTTTTCTACAAGACAGTTTACTTCTGTGTGGAGGGAAGAATTTTCAGAGGAAATGGATATCCATGCTATAACTCCCTCCACAAAAAGAGGTTCATTTAGGGGATTAAACACAGAAAAGGTCTTCATTGACCATGGATTAGCTGGAATGGCAATGCTTACTAAAGGCTGAGCACCATAGAGTGACTTGACAGCAAACCCTTTGGCCTGAACAAGAAAACCGCCCCTATTTGTCTGCAACACCAAATGTGCTGATGAGAGCCCCAGCCATCTAGGCAAAAACATGAAACAGACTGAAGCCACTTCACCGGGTGATAACAAAAATCCAGTATTGTTGCAAGGATAGAACTGTTTGTCAGAACTAAACGGTTCATAAACATGTAAGATGCTGTTGTTGCATTTGTTTTCCACTGTTAGAAATGCTACCGAAGGGAAAAACACAAACTTCTCTCCCCAATCCAACACTGGAGGGTTTATTTCAACACTGAAAGAAGGATCACCGGATGAATCTGATTTTGTCATCCCAGGATTATCATTCAACTTGGCATCACCATCTTTTTTATTTTTCAGCAAAGATCCTTCGCTTGCAGAGAGAGAATTCTTATTAGCGCTACCAGATTGGGCTGATGCTGACAAAGGGGTTTCATCTCGAGAACTTAGTGAGCACGCAACTTTCCTCCCATCCATTAATTCAAACACGTCATAATCTGATGTCCAGTTCCTGTCGCTCCATGATTTACTAGGATTAGATTGCCCGAGAGAGTAAAATGGATCAGACTGATTCCCGGATCCCAAAGATGAAAGGAAACAGAATGAATGTGAACTGGTACAAACACTCTGGACACTTTGTCGGGTCTCTGCAGCATAACTTGAGCTAGCATCTCCAACACTAAAATCTTGAAAACCTGAAACAGGATTGTAGCCAGGGGACCCGCATGAATCACACTCAGCTGGGTTATGCAACGCATTCACTGAGCAGGGTTCAGATGCGGTCAAGGGAAGCAGTAGACATGACAGAAGCAGAAGAAATCCAAGCACCTTGGATGAACTGAATGCTCCACTGTGTAAACAAAAACAATGAGTATAACCATGTGAGACAATGAAAAATGAACTATTTTTTTATCGAAAGAGAACCATCTGAGCAGCAGAAGTAGCCCCTTTAAAAAAGCATCTCAAGCAACGCCATTGCAGAGCAAGAGCAACCTGATTTAGCTTCCACACAATCTATCAGAAACAAAAGCATTTCTGTTCCAGCAATGTCCTAAGCAGCAGAATATAATCGAAAACGGTCCTGAGAGAGAGATGCTACTCACTCACAGATGGTAGCAATCTATATAGAACCTCTTCTTCTGAGAGGAGAAAAGAAAAGCAGAAAAGTATAATCCAACAAGTCTGGAGATGAGATGATCAATCATCTTCACATTCTTCAGCTAAAGTTTCGTCATTAGTTTGATTTTAGCAAATACAGACACAAACAAAACTGCTGAGAATACATATACAGATTACGTATATAAAAGGTGTGTTTGGTCCTTGACCAACAACTGAAAAATCACTGAACTATAAACGTATAGGAACCAAAAAGGGACCCGAAAAATAGGGAGAGAAACATAATCAATCTCCAACGGTATCAGAAGAGGAAATGCTGTTTGAGGCAATCAGAAGAGCCAAAAACATAAGGTTCCAAATATGGAAAATAACTACACAAAGAACTGTTCTACGAATAGCGAATGGTAGCCCACCCCAGGAAAAGAGGAATATAGAGCAGAGTGATGGAAGAAACAGAAAAGTTTCAAACTTTTGATGAAATGGGGAAAAATGAATACTTTGGCAAAAAAATCTCGAACAACTGCGATCGATCATCGAAAGCCACAATGGGCGGCCAAAAACAAGCAAAACAATAACGAAAAAAGTGGGAAAAGAACGAAAGGAGTATGATGGATTATACCGAAGGTGGAAGAACATAGCGGAGAGCAGAGGCGGAGCTGTAATCGCTAGGGTTTTTCGCTCCATGTCCGAGAAACCATCTGGGGCTTATCGTCCGAAATTTAATTTAGGGTTTTTTGCGAAATTATTTTAGACAAAAAAGAAAGCTGCGATTCCTGGGGCCTGACGATAGAACAACACCACCTGAACGAATGGAGGCTGAGGACCAACCAGGCAATAGAGAGGGGGAATAGCAGGACGTATGTCCTTTCTCAAATTACCGAATTGCCCCTGAAAATACGGCGTCGTTTATCTTCCCGTGCGGATTATTTAATTTTCTCCTAATATATCATCAAATAATCACCTTCACCTACCACCTATTTATTGCCTATTTACGTAAATGAAACAAAGGCAGGAATACATTAGTAGCGGAATTATAAAAAAAAATAGTTTTTCGAAACAACATTTGTTAGTTTTTTCTCCGCATATTTGGCTAGAATTCTATAAAGATTAAATTATGTAAAACTTTGAAATTGTAGAAAGGGTACATGGGTATATCTGTAATTTTGAGTGGCGACGACATCACTGTGGTGGACTTCGTGAAAGGGGTTGTTTACGAGACTTCGTGCAGTTAATTATATTCTAATCGGGTTTTTAGACATTAATTTGCCAGATATATACATATTTTATAACCAAATAAACTATTCTAAACCCTAATGGGACGTGATAAGGACAAAATTTATTTACGGACATCTAGCGATGACTGTCTCATTGGTCCTAAGATTATCATTTATTCCCTTCAGTTGTTACAACTCCTTCCCATTTTTTTCACTTGCAATGTTTTTCCATATATAGTTTTATATTATACCTTATATTGATCATCAAAATTATATTTTGTGGCTATGAAACAGACTAATTTTTTGGGAAACTAATAATTTTCGAATCTACGTAAAAAAAGGATTACGAACTTTTTTGTCAATATTTTTATACATGAATAAAACTAAACAAATTAAAAATCCAACTAAGTTTGAGCCCAGAAGGCCAGAATCGGGTGTACCGTAAAGCGTGTGCCACGTGGCAAAAGGTGCGAGCCCATCCGGACCTCCGCTAACGCCGCTGGCGCGATCGCCAAGGATTCCAAGTTGAGGGCAGTTTCGGAATTTACGAAAAAAATCGAGCGAGCGAGGAAAGACAAACCGGTACGGTGTTCGAATACGAAACGGGGGCTCACTAACGGCATTAACGGAGAATCTTCAGACGGTTAACGGGAGGTTTGACGGCGTTCTGTCCGGGTTCCAAGATTCCCTCGACGTGCCGCCCACCTCCGATTCCCTTTACGGGACGGGACCCACACAGAGGATCGTATCTTTGTTTGATCGGACGGCTGATAAGCTAGTGGACCCCGCATGTGTTTTCTTCAATTTCAAACGTAAGTGACATATAATTGGTTGATAAAATTTAAATTAACTACTAATCACTGATTAGGACAACGAATTAGTAAAAGATTCTCCTCCAACTGAACCATCAGCGAAGAAAATCTTGGTCTAGATGGCGACTGATATTCCAGGCCCCACAGGAAGCAGCTCCTCCTTGTCCCCGAAGTAAACACCGCAGACTTTAATTAATTACAGCTTTTATTTATTTGTATAATATAAACAAGAGGAAGTCATAAGAAAAATTCTTAATGCGTATTTAGCGTGGATAACTGGGGAGATAATATTATGCTATCCATATTAATTAACATAAATATGCACTTGTATAAACCCAAATATAGTTTATTACATAAATAGTAGTGAATACTTTTAAGGATTTTTTATATCGATAATAAAATCCTATATTTCAATGTGGTTTGTTACTTTATTTAGAAATTGTGATTTTATCCACATGGGCTTGCGTAAGAAAATCATTCCAATGGGCTTTACTAAGCGCACAACCAACATTTGGGCTTTCCTTAAGAATGTTATCTAAATGGGCTTGAATAAAAGCCCACAGTTTTAACATGTTTATCTAAATAGACTTTGTTTTATGGTGGGTGTGGGATCCTCACTAATTCAGGATCTTGGATTATACGAATTTCAGATTTTGTTGCACCAAAATCGAATCATAGATCATGTAGGTTGCGGAGTTCTAATTTTATATCATTTTCACTGAATCATATACTTTCAAGAAACTGTTTGGTTCTATACATATAAAAATACGAACATTTTAATCGTTTACTCTCTTTTTTTTTTGTTAAATATTTTAACTGTTTACTTGCAATTGACGCTATTAAATATTGTCTATCGTCACTATATGCTTTACATATTATATAATATCTTCGTTCTTTTAATAAAATAAACTAGGCTTTATTGAACTAATTTTTAAAAAATCGCTAATAAATTAATCTAGCAGGCCATAAAGCTCAACAATGGAAAAAAAAATAAGATAGATTCTTTGCAGGTTTTTATTTAAAAAAAAAAACAACAGTTCTGTTTCGACTGTACTTTCAGGCGTGTATATATACATATGTGTGTGTGTAAAGAAAAATAAGGGGATGCGATTTAATGGCACAGAGCAAGTAATAATCACGAGAAATTTAATTAGAATAAACACAGAGATAACAAAAGTACAAAAGCATGCAACCTAAATACTTCAACTTGGAAGTTCTTTTGCATAGTTTAACAAGTAGACCCACGAGCTTTTGTCTCCGTGTGGACTTGTACAGACCGCAACCAACTTATACATTATTAATAACTCGCTTTTTAGTTTCTTACCTACCCTATGTAACGTTTTTTTAAAATAAGAGTTCTTATTATAATGTAATTTATATCACTCTATAGTAACCAATAACCATGATCATAACCCCAAGATAGCGATTTGTGTTCCTTCGAGTTCTTTTGGGATTTTGAAAGAGTGAGATTCTGTTTCGCTATAGAGAAATAGCTTCGTGTTAACATGATTTTATATTTTACATATCGGTACAATGGTATGCTAGAACCTAGGGGAATTTAACGTCACGAATCATTAGGTATAGAGTTTTTCTTACAAATATTTTTTTTTTAATTACATCTGCATGTAAAAAAAAAAAACAAATTACCCCATTATGCCCACGATGCTTTGCGTGGTCCTTATATACATGCATCACTTAAAAAATCATTTTTTTAGTTTGTGTTACGAATCTTACATGCGTAACTGTCATTGCCATGTTTGCTCCGAATGAAAAGGGGAAAAAAAGTTCATCTACGTACATATTTTCCCTTTTTAGGTTTGTGGAATGTCCGGAAGCTCCATATGTTGTAACGTCAAAGCATCAATGTCTTTAGCGGATTTGTCTGAACTAACTTAACGGCCACTGTCACTGTTCACGCGGGGTTTTTTTTCTCTCTAAGAAGTTCACGTGTGCATGTATAACTACGCGCATGTCCGCATGTATATATGTAGGAATATAAATGTTTTTTTTTTCAATTTTCATTTTTTTTATGTATTCCCTTTTAATAACTTAATGAACCATTTATCTTCTTTTTTTTCCTGGTAAACTCTATCTTACTATATATATTCCGTTTAGGTAAGTCACACTTTTGCAATACTGACTCAAATTTTAAACATAAACTGAAATGAATAAAATTTCAACTATACAAGGTACAATAAAAAAACATTTTAACAAAAGAAAGAAAATGAATCGATATGGAACTAAAAATCAGAATAAGTGTGGTGGCGCATGCATGGTTGTAAGTCATTCTAATTAGGTTTTGATGGAATGTCCAATGCCGGGGCTGTGGCCGGGAGCCGTGGGCCGGAAATCATCAACGCCGTATTGTTCCTCGCTGGTCATCTCCTTCCCAGCAATGCTTGAGTCATGGCCACTGTTAATGGCAGCGACGTTGAAAGTGCTGACGCCATTTTTACGAGTCGAGACTCTCTTGCTGGGCTTATGATGATTCCTCATGTGTCTTCCCTCGATTGGGACGATTTCATATGACACAAGAGAAATGACAAGAAGACAGATATAAACATTTAACAACACAGCTTTCGCCATTGACGATAATTAATATAAAGAGTAGATAAATTAAGAATGAGAACTCTCCCCTTTTGGGTTTTTAGGGTTTATGTAAGGTTTTCGGGGATGGACTATATATTTCAAGAAAAGTCAAACAGTAAGCTTATAAGAATATCGAGAATAGTAATGACTAGGGTTTAGATCTGTGAAGTAGAATACCATGTTGCCAAATATATATATAGGCGCACAAAGGGGTTCTAACTTCTAGGAGACCTAGAAGTTATGGGTTTAGGACACTAACGACGTGTTATACTTTTTTTTTTAAAAGCGTTCAAAGGACAAAGGCATGTGCGAGAGAGAGTTTACCCTCAGAAGTGGGAAGAGTTACAAAGCACATGAAGTGGACCGACATGCCAAATAAATAAATTAAACTGTTTGACGGTTTTCGCGATTTGAATTTAATAGCCCGACTTCTCGTATGTGCTAAAGGGTTTATTAGCCACCACCACTTCACACCTCTGCCCTGTTGTCTATGTTCCCTTTTCCTTCCTTATATACATTTTCTTTATCTATACATGTTCGATTAAATTTAGTGATTCAGTGACATAAAATTGAATATCCAGTAACAAGAACTGGATTTAACTCTTTACCTAATCTTGTTATATAATTAAATCTCTGGTAAATGTAGATCAGAGACGCTACTCACTCGTCGTGCGCATGCACGCGCGCGCGCGTGGACATTAATTTATTGGGAAGCAAAACTAAGTCAAGCGAAATAAAACCTATCATGATATCAAGAGGTGTGATGTTGTGATTTCCTTCCCAAAACATTTTGAAATGTTTTTAGAGACTCTGATTAGATTTGGCTATATGCGCCGGCGGAGGAGAATAATGATACGGTCATAGTTTACGTAAACTAACAATATGAATTCTACAGCGTAACTTAAATCACATGTTTTTTTTTTTGTCAAAACTTAAAATGATATGTTTATCCATATGAACATTTATATGGGATGGTTCATTAGGATATAAAGTTTATTAATTCCTCTTAATTCAAAACGAGTCGGAAAACAATGGACAGTATTCTCAAGAATTCTGAATTTCTCCATTCAAATCGTAAGTTCAAGTATGCAGCCGCTTTTAAAATTTCTACTATTTTTCAGCAAAATAATTTCTTATATAAAGTTTCTTTAAACAGTAACGAAAAAATAGTTCATTTTTCCCGCTTAAAT